TCTTCACCATCCATCCTGATGCTGCCAATTGGTCCAGTGGTGAGAATCTTTGTCTTCTTGACATTGAGCCTCAATCCATATTGTAGGCTGCAGTCCTTGATCCTCGGCAGCAGATGCTTCAGGTCCTCCTCAGTTTCAACAAACAGGGTTGTGTCATATGCATAATCCAGATTGTTGATAAATCGTCCACCAATCTTGACCCCACATTTCTCCTCATAGAGCCCAGCCTCCCGGATAATCTGTTCTGCACATAGGTTGAAAAGGTATGGTGATAGGACGCATCCCTGGCTTACGCCCTTCCCAATTTTGAACCATGCCTTGTTCCCTTGCTCTGTTCTGACGACTGCCTCCTGGTCCAAGTATAGTTTTCGTATTAGAACGATCAAGTGTTCTGGGATTTCCATTCTTCTCAGAGTCAGCCACAGTTTGTTATGATCCACACAGTCAAACGCCTTGGCATAGTCTGAAAACCCTATGTACAACAAAACACGTGTAGATGTTTATCTCCCTAGTTCATGTAAATATAATTCCCTGTATATAAGCAACTTCCATGATAAGTTACTGGTTTCCTAGGAGTTCCTGATACAGAGGCCTTGATGCATATTACTCCCACTGTCCTTAGTCCCACTGTCTCCTCAGATGAGACTGGGAAACAGGATATAAATGGGTAAAGTTAACACGTGCTCATGTGGGAAGACAGATCATGGGGTTCCAGTGGAATTCTCCGGCTTTGAATACCATAAACCCAGTTACCACGGCTATTTTATTCAAGCATATATCTGCATTCCTCTCCACAAATACAAGAGTAATAGCAATGTTGATGATATGAGTGAAATAAACCTTCAGAAAAAGGATTGTCAACTATCTATGTGAATACAGGTTCATCAAGGTTCCTATCCTTACATCCACGTTGAGTTTCTTCTGCACCTCCGCCAGGAAAACCCATTCTTCCTGGGTCATGATTATAAGCACACCTTCAAGGAACGCTGGTGCCGAGAATAGCCAACAGAGTCTTGATCAGGCACCATAATGATCACAGAATAAACCATACTGTAAGTAGGACGGACTTACAAAGGCACTCTTTAGCACAAAATGAAAGAAGGTTATAATTATAGAAAAAAAAACAAAATAAAAAAAAAAAGAAAGAAGGTTCAGGCATGCTTAAAATCAGATCTTCCCTGTATCATGGAAAAACCCACTTTCTCTCCTGTAACAGATTAGTAAATACAACTAATGATGTATATTAGTAGAGACTGGCCATAGCACAACACTGCAGAATGGCAGAGTTGACATTCAAACTGAAAATCCATACAATCCTATGGCCACAAAGGCCTTGGAAGCTGATCTTTTCTTGACCTCTGTGAGATCAACAAACATAAGCTCCACTTGATGTCTGTCTTAATTCATAGATGGATAACCCTGCAGTTTACAACTGGCCAAGAGTATGAATAGAACAGGGATTGTGAGGGGAAAACACCAAATCAATAAATCTGTCTTTGGGATTTGTTCACCCAGGATGAGCTTCATAAGGAAGGATACATAGCAAGGAAATAAGGAAAGCACACGTATGTACACAATACACTGACCTGTGCACAGAGAGGGACACACGACCAACCCAGGTACTCAGTGTCCTAAAGTGATTGCATCTATGCACAAGAGTCTCCAGGGAAGCCCAGCAGGCAGGTCTAGTTAAAGTTACAGGTTCAGTGCAAGATATTGTAAGCAGCACACCTGCATACGAGACAAGAGACTGCGTGTCACCTCCTAGTTACTACAATCAAGTGAAGAAGCAGAAATCATGTTGATGGGATTTGCTGCCAGAGCCAGGAATTGAGGGCACAGGGGTGAGGTCACAAGCCCCATGGCATATGTGGAGGCTTAGGGCTGGTGTTGAAATGAATTCCTCATCTGCTGACAACTCCTGAACTATTCTCCTTGGTTCTCTGACAAGTTAAATATTTTCATGATTAGTGATATTCTCGACTCAATTACATATGTGGAAAGAACCGCTGGAGAAGTTCAATATC